TAGAGGGAAATTACTACTGGTACCCATAGTTCATCCAGAATAGATGCACTTTACTTCTTTTGAAACTGCTGCAAGCTTTAGCATGCATACTCTGAGAACAAGTTTTTAGGCAGCACTTTGGCATCTACTTGTTTATACTACAAACTATGCATGACATTACCAGGGGCGGGCAATTATTTCAGGCGCAGGGCCGCTGAGTAGGGGCAAGACATCAAGGGCCACATGACAATCAAGGGCAGATATATATTAATTTTCTAAATTTTTTAGGGGCCCCACAGGCTGGATAGAATGGCTTGGCAGGCTGCATTTCGCCCACTCCTACATTAGTCTAAAACCAAAAGGCTCGTGACTTACCACATGGTTCACTGGGCTGGGCAGAGACAACAGCATTTCAAGCTATGGTGGCCCCCAAGCTGAGCACTACTCAGTATGTGTACATAGGTCAGATTCCACCCCCCCCCCCAACAAAGGACCCATGTAGCCTCCCATTCATGACTGGAACCAGGTGTTCTCATCACAAATCATGGGATCCTCCAAAAATTATATGCAGATGAGGTGCAGGACAACCTGGTCCATGTCCAACTACATCTCATAGAGGGTAGGGCCACACTAATCATATGCAACAGGCTGAGAGAGGATTCAACATTTGGTTTCTGGGTGACTGTTTGGAGCCTTGTTCAGTGATGTTTGCTAGACATTTAAGGCTGGTTAAAAAACAGGACTCATTGGGTATGGAAAAGAAAGGCACAGCTCAGCTTTGGGAGTGAAGAAGTCAAAATGTATGCAGTATAGCAGCTCACCATGATGGAAAATTCTGAGGGGGACTGGGCACAATGGGCACTACTTATTCAGATAGGTTGCAATAACCTATTCTTGTGATGGGTTCCCATTAGCATCTCAGCCTTTTAGCTATAATTAAATGTAGCATTTTTGGTAGCAGGGGTAGGGTGTCAGGGCTGGCTGTGGCCCTCCGGGTGCCAGCCTGGTATTGCAATACCTCTAGGTCATGCCAGTTCCCTGAAGAGGGAACACCCACTCATTTCTTTTAAGGGCCACACACAAAAAATAAAAGGATTTGCATCTGTATGTTTGCCCCATATAAACCATGTGTTTTATAGTAATGCTCAGTGTTGGCTACATTTAGTCAACTTCATACTTGATTTCTAAGCACATGTTGCTTTTGGCAGCAGTTTGATGGTAGACAACGTATTTAGTGAGGTTTCCTGGTATGCAAATATAAGACAATGGGTTTTCCCCCCCCACAGAATCATAGAAGTAGGGTCAAAAGGGACCTTGTAGATCTTCAAGTCCAACCCCCTGCCTGGGCAGGAGAAAAAACTGGGCTCATATGATCCCAGCTAGGTAGGCATCAAGCCTCCTCTTACAGACCCCCAGGGTAGGAGCCAGCACCACTTCCCTTGGAACTTGGTTCCAGATCCTAGCCGCCCTAACTGTGAAGTAGTTCTTGCAGATGTCTAATCTAAACCTACTCTCCAACAACTTGTGGCCGTTATTCCTTGTTATGCCAGGAGGTGCTAGGGGAAACAAGGTCTCTCCCAAACCCTTCTGGTCCCCCCTAGTGAGTTTATGGATGGTCACCAGGTCCCCCCTCAGCCTTCTCTTGTG